TATATATAAAAGATGGATCATGTGATTCGTGTGCAATTATTGCACAAAGTCTATAACAATAACAACACGTCAACTGTGAATTAAAAACCGTGCAGCCAAACCACATCGGTTTGGTTCGGTTTGATTTTATTTTCTAAACCAAACCAAACTAGAAACCGGTTTAATGTGGTTGGAATCGAAAGCGACGGATCCGGTTCATTGGTTACGGAATTTAAAATTTTTTAACAAATAAAAAACTTCACATGGCAATTTGCAAAAGTCCAAGGCTCGGCCATGTGGGTTAGGCTCAGAAAGACGACATTTTTCATGGATAATTACCAAACTCGTCTTATTATCCTTTTTTTTTGGGTCAACAATTATTGAGTTTAATTTCTATTTATTATTGTATATATATAATTTAATTCATACGGATCACGTTAAGGGTGGGTATTTCGGGAATCGATTTGGGTTCGGGATAGAAATACATCGGTTTGGTTTTTTCGGTTTTACAAAAATAGATATTAATCGGTTTTTTATTATGATCGGTTCGTTTCAGTTCGATTTTGGTTCGGTTCGGTTCGGTTCAGTTCTGATTTTTATTAAAAAGATAGATCTCCCGTATAATTTTTCGGTTTTTCAAAATTTTTTAAAATTCGAAATTCGGTTCAATCCGATTCCGAAAAATTTAGTTTTTTAAAAATATTACCATTCGAAAATTTAAAACGATTTGGATCGAAAAAAATACCTTATTTTTGGACCCACTCCTATCCGAATTTTTATTTTTTTTCCCTCTTTTAGAACCACACAAAAGGAAAAAGGCCCGATCTGATAAATACCAACGTACCCCTGCTCAATAAGAAATTAGCAAATGGGCCAATCATTCAGCCCACTAAAGGCCCAATTTGTTATTCTATTTAAGGGAGTCTGGCTCCTTCCTTTTCTCCGAAACCCTAATTCTATGCACTCGTAGCTGAGGCAGCCGCCTCGGCGCAGGAGAAGCTCCGCGTTTGATCTGAAAACGTTTATCTAATTCTTCTGTCTTTTGGTATTGTTTGATTCGACTTTTTGTTTTCCCTTTCTCTGAAAACGTCTCTTTTTCATGGTTGAATTTTCACGTTTCTCGTTGAGGATTTCATCATGATTATCCCAAATTATAGGATGTCAAATGGTTTCGATGATTTCTAGAATCTTTGCTTTTGTCGATTCGATGTTTGGGAAATGGATCATTAGATCACATCCTTCTCATTCTCTGTTCTCTGTTGTCTGCGGGTTGGGCTAAGTGCAGATTCATCTGAAAGCCAGAAATCGGTGTGAGGGAGCAGCTCGAGAATCTTCCATATGTGAATTCTCTCTTCCGTCATGTCAATATCGTGTGTTAATAACTGTGACGTTTGCTTTGAATTGATTGTATTTTTGTTTGCGTGTTCATATATTCTGATTTGCACATTGTATCGAGGGCTATGTTGTGATTGCAGTGGCATGGTCTTTGAGCTTCAGTGCATAAATGAAGAGCTGTTAAGTCAGCAGCGGCCAGACAACCGTCTGGATAGATCCACTGGTGAAACCGACTTAGTCCTTCACCTACTAAATCTATCCCACAAGTGTTTTCTACATTCTTTCGTTTTTTTGCTTGTCGAAAAGTTTGGATTTTTGTTGTTCTTGTCGCTTCGTTCGTGGTCAAGATATCCTAGTCAGTACCCTTTGGAACTTTCCTATAATCCTGCTTTCTGGGTGATTAAGTTCACAGTTGTTGTTTTAGATTATCATTGACTGTGTTCTGTCTCTATGGCGGTGTTTCTTGGTAACAGCACTTTGCATTGATCGCCATGCTTGTTTCCGATGGCATGGTCTTTTTCTAAGTGCTTAGAGGAAGCGCGGTTTGGTTGGTTTATCAGCTATGCAACCGCTGGGGTTAGATCCAGGTGGTGGACATGTTTCTGTACTGTTTACCAACTTAATTCTGTCCCACAATTCTTAGGCCCTTTTGCCATTCTTGATAAAATTTTATGCAGCTTCTTTGGGCACCCAACACAGCATTTGAACCAAGCAAGTATCTAAGACTATAGACTAGATGATGCTTATGTGCTAAGGAAGAAGGGTTCTTATCCAAATTTGGAGGTTCGGACTAGTAGTGATACTTGGTAACTAAGTTGGTCATGTCTTTGTTTAACACTCCGTTCCATGTTGAGTAGTTTTAATCTGTCTGAAGAATTAACCTTCCTTTTGAATAATGGGTTTAAATTCTGAAACAAGATTCAAGAGTTGTTTTTTTGTGGCGAAGTGTAGCGTTGGTTTTTGGTAGGGCTGGACTGGACTCGAGTATTTGAGATTGACGGGTTCTCGGGTACCTGGTTTTCTGGGTAATCATCATGTGGGTACTTGTTATGTAATGAAGTCGTAGACGGTGACATGAGATCTAGAATCGGGACCATCAGTTTGGATTCAGGTTTTTTTTTTAATGCAGTAGGGTTGTTTCTCGGTTTGTTGATGTTCTTGGTTGAGATTTAGCGGTGACTCGTTCCAGCTTTTCGGTATGGCTAACCATGGAATGATCCCCGAGATCTTTTCCAGAAGATCAAAATATTGAACGCCCTTGTTCGGGATTCCATGCTCAGCATCAGGAGTGATGTTCTTGTTGTGTTTATGATTCCAATATATCAGTGCTGCGGAGAATTTGCTCTACTGTGGTGTAATGGTGTTAGAGCTGGTGGCTTTTGTGAGGTTGAGGGTGAAATTCCCGGCCATGTCGTGACCTTACAGGGTACATTTTGAAACCACCGGCTCAATCCTCATGTGCGTGCCCTCGATTGGTCGAATTCTCCATCGGTTCTGATCTGTCTGGTCTTCGTCAGCATGGTCGGGAAATCAGATAATGCTCTCTTTTATGTATTTCTTTGGAAGTTAAATTTATTATTGTCTGCAGATGAAGTGGGATTACAGGCAGTTAAAACAATTCTAGAATGTATAATGAATGGTAAAGCCTTGAATGTAAATTTAAAATATTGGCTCTTAGAGAATAAATAAACACTAAACGTTTGTGCATATGACTGTCACTTGCTGGATATAGAAAATTGTATTTTAATATTCAAATTTATAAAAGATTATAAAAAAGCCATATTTAATATAAAATTTCTAAAAGTTGCAAGATTTTAATTTTAGGTTTTAATTTTTGGCGGTTTTTGAAAACCGTTTAATTTCTTTTATAAAAGAAAATATAGGATTTAATCATGTCAAAGTTAGGAAGAGTTACTTTGGCTTTGAATGGAGATGACTTTTATTTTGGGTTTTTGGTTTTAGTTTTTGGATTTTGGTTTTTAGTTTTTGGTTTTTGGCTTTTGGATTTTATAATATTTGAAAACTCAAAAAAAGTAGCTTTTGGTTTTTCATTGATTTTTTCACTAAAATGGCTTTCTAAGTTTTTAGGAAAAGTAATTTTGTAAAAACTTGAATGTTGTTTTTTTTTGTTTTTGGATTCTAAAAACTCCAAAAACTCCTACCATTCAAGGCCTTTGTTTTATCGTAGAATTTTAAATTTTTTAAATTTGTGTATTCATGTGTTATTTGTTTATTAGTTTATTTATTTAATTTGCGATTTCATTTATTAATGGTGGACGTGAGCTATTTGACCAAATAAATGGTTAAATGACATCTACACATGAAAAGGCCCAATGGGCCTAGAACTGAAAACGAATCCGGAATGGCAATGAGGCCCAATAAAAAGAAAGCCCAACAACTTGAAATCGGATTCATCTGCTTCGGAGAAATCGAAAGAGCGCAAACAGATCTATTACCAGAAGAACCCTAAACCTTTGCGAGTCGAACAGTGACGGGAGCTAAACATGAATTCTCTCCTTCGCGCTTCGTCTGTTTCTTCTTTGGTTCGTGGATGTGGCGGGATCAATTGCTTCTCGCGATTTTCCTCTCAGTCTAATGGATTCTTTGGTGAGTTTTTGCTGTTCTATTTCTTTAATTCTTTGTCCTGTTTGGCTACTGGGAAAATGCTCGAGGGTCCGAAAGTGATCTGCTTGTATCAGATTCGCGATTTCGGCATGCGAGTATCAGATTCGGGGTCACTGCTTTATATTCCTGTTTTGAAGTTGATTGGCAGCAAAGTGTGTGATTTGATGTTTTAGAATCGATTTGGTTGTTCGAGAAGTTGAGAATTCTAACATCTGTTTCTACGTACTATTCCGATGGGTTGAACCATTCTCTTGCTATACGTTCGTATCAGACTGTGTACTGGTTTGGTTATGACGTGATAGCCAGCTTCGAATGTTCTTGGGTTCTGTGATTTCCTTTGCGGAAAACGGAAATTAGATGAATCTGGCTTCAAACATCACGGAATGTGGAGATTTCGAATCCAAAAACAGAGTATAACTTGGTTGTGTAAAAGATTCCTCATGAATGATACGTCAATGTGAAATGACTTTTCCTGGATATAGAAAACATGAAATTCTGCCCGTCAGCATTAGAAGTGTCTCGGTATTGAACTCTTTCTTTGATAATAAAACAGGGAGGAGCTGGAAGCAAGAAACATCATTTCCCAGGGCATCGGGAGAAATTTCGGGAGAAGGAAGCAGACATTCGGCTACTAATGCTCCGAGCTTCCAGAATTTCACTCGTTCTGCAGTTTTTCAGGAGAACAGAGGATGGTGGAACTCGAAATCCATGGAAACCGTGAAAGGAATACTAGAGGATGAAGGGAGTAGAAGACCAATCGGGGGCTCCTCCTTTTATCGTCCAAATGCCGAAACAAATGCAGAGGTTGTCCACATCAAAATGTTGCGTAACAACACCTTTGTTACCGTGACGGATTCAAAGGGAAACGTCAAATGCAGGGGCTCATCAGGCTGTTTGCCCGAGCTAAAGGGCGGACCGAAGCTATCAAGATATGCAGCCGAGGCAACTGCTGAACACATCGGAAGAAAAGCAAGGACAATGGGTCTGAAATCGGTGGTCGTTAAGGTTAATGGCTTCATCCATTTCAGGAAAAAGAGGCAAGCCATTGTTGCGTTCAAAGAAGGTTTCAACAGTTCCAGGTCGGACCAGAACCCCATTGTTTACATCGAGGACACGACTAGACGTGCTCATAACGGATGCAGATTGCCAAGGAAACGTCGGATTTGAGAATTTTCTCGAGAGGTTTGATCTTCTTTTTTATGACAGAACTCGGGTTCTCTTCCCATGTTGTAGGAGTGCTGTAGATTTCCTTTGTCTGAAATTTGCTCACTTCTTTTAGAGTGTTTTTATTCAAACATAATACGTTCATTCCAATAATAAGACAGATATAGGAACTGATCTCTCTCCCTCTGTGGCTTTGTTCAAAAAAGGATTGTTCAAAAACTATTGTCTTTGCAGTCTTATTCTGTCGGAGATTCTGCTGTTTCGTGATGAAGGTCTGGCAGGTCGGAGCTAACGGAGAATTTCAGCCATCTCTTCTTCTCGACATGCTTAAGACACGGTTGCATCACCAGGCCGATGACTACGATACCGAGACTCAGTCCGGCAACTTTCAGAGTAGAAAAGGCCATGACCACAAAGATCAAAATGGTCGGAGGAATGCACATTAGGACAGAGCCTACGGTTCCTACGGGAATCTTGTACGGTCGTGACGCAGCCGGGTATTTCATCCTCAACCGTACAAAAGCTATGAACTCTAATATCATTCCGACGCAGTATAGTAAATTCTCTGCAGCCACGATTTCTTGGAAGCTTAGCCAAGACAAGAGGATCACACCCGAGGCAGAGAACAGAATCCCGATCAATGGAGTTCCGTGCCGTGACCTTTTGGCGAAGAACTCGGGAATCATTCCCCGCTCAGCCATCCCGAGAAGCTGGAACGAGTCACTGCTCATCTCGGCCAAGAACATACCCATATTCGATGTGGCTGCAGCCACTTGTACCCACCACCCTAACCAAGCACCTCCGAGGATCTTAGCTATGTCGGCCAGGTACCCGTCGGTCCAAAGCTCGCGGTTCAGGGGCGTAGCTCCGGTTCCAGACAGAAGCGGGATGATGTAAGAAACGACAACCAGAATCAAAGCGTAGAACAATGCCTTCGGAAGCGTTTTCTTCGGATTCTCCACTTCACCGGCAAGTGTACTGATCGAATCCCAATAGTTCAGATTCCAGAAGAGTGTGTTTAGATACAAGTTCCAGTCCACGCTCCGCAAATCCACGACAAGCCATCTGGAAGGGTTCAGCTTCGGGATCGAGATGAGGCCTATCACGAGAAACGGAAGTAGCGAGAGAATCCCCAGAAGAACGGCTGCAAACCCAACAATGGTTAAGCCCCTGTAGTTCAGATATGTCAGGACCAGAGTCAAGGCGAAGACCGACAAGATCCTCGGCCAGCCGCCGGCTAGCGCCGGAATTCCGGACTGCAGATAATCGAGGAAGAGGACCGGATACAACGCGTTATCGATCACGCCGCTCAGCCATTTCACCCATCCTTGCTGGAATCCCCAGTACGGTCCTAAAGCCGACGAGACCCACACCACGTATCCGCCATTTTCGGGAAACATTGTTCCCATTTCTGCAGTGATCAATGCCTCTGGAACACTCCAGACGAAAGGGAAGGTTACAAACCCTAGAATCGCCATTAGCGGCCCTGCTGCGTTTACACTGTCTTCCACCCCGAAAGGACCGCCGGAAACTTCGTAGAATATGAGGAAAACCAGCGGCAAAACCGATATTTTACGAAACTTGTTGGCTCTCGGTGATGAAGCATCACCTCCGGCGGTGCCGGCGGGAGAGGTATCATCGCCGGCGACGGTGATGTATTCAACGCAGTCGTAACGACGACCCATCTCGAGAGATGCGGGTGAGTTTCCGGCAACGGCGGTCGCCAGTTTCTGCATAACGGAAAATCAGATTCAACAATCAGATGGGTATCACCGGATTGAAAGGAACGTGAAGGCGGAGGCTTTTGACGTGGCCAGAGAAAACCCAGATCGCCGGAAAACGAGGGTCGATCTGGGATCGCCGGCCGCCGTCGAATTCGATGAGTACGTGAAGATTCGGAACAAATCAATGTTAATAAAAAGGAAAAGCATTATCTTTTTTTTTTAAATCGATAATTGGATCGTCGAGTTGTCTCTTGGAATTTTAAAATCGTTTCTTTTATGGATAAACGGTGGAAATATTCCAATCAATCTATGTTTTGATTCTTATCCTTAGATCTCTGCCCGTGGATCCGTCTTGTTTGAATCACGAAGGGATTCTTCTTTGTTTTAATTCCTAGATCTTTTTTCTAATTTTTTTTTTCACTATTTAGTTTTTTTGTTCAATAAAAATTTTGCTGTACAAACAAAAAAAAGTTCGACAATGACGACATAAACATCGTTATCTTCATCATGGAAAAAAAAACATGAACCAAAATGGTAGAATCCTATGAATTTCTCTTCCTTGATAGGAAATTCGTACTACTCGTGGAAATTTTTTTAACATTTTGGGTATGTCGGGGTCATAGGTCGAGGGACATACTAATTCCGGAATTATAATTGGAATTACATTTTTTTTTAATTTTGAGATTCGAATTCGGGACGAGATAAAGTTTTGCGTCTTTACTAGGTTTAGCTATGCCAAATGGATGGAAAATTTTTCATTTGATGATTTCATGCCTTCTTTTTTTTCACGCATATTCTATACATGTATATCACAATATTTCACTTAACATAAAAAAAAATTAAAATAAAAAAAAAAGTTTATTTTGAGAGAATCGTTGATTATTATTATTTTTTTTGTTAACTGACGTTGATTATTGTTCTTGAATCAAAAGAAAATGTAATTAATCAAGTTTTTTGGGTCCAATAGATTGCTCTTTTTTTTTTTTTAATGAAAGCTCAAGACAAAGCTGTAGTTATTAGTCATTACCTCGCCGTCGCCAACCCTCTCCGCCGGCGCCGTCGGTGTAAGAGCGGGAAACTCCACGAACCTCGACCATGTCGCCGGAATCAATGGCGAATACAGGGACAAGTCAAGGCGCCTCCTCAATTATTACAGCACAAAACCTCTAAAGCTTGTCCACTCGCACACCTACCCACTATCCATCAGACAAATATTAATATATATATATATATATATATGTATATGTATTATGTATATGTGTGTATATATATAGAGTATGTATAGACAAACATGGTTGCTTGCATGGTCAAGGCTTCGATAACAGTGACGCTGACTAATTCCATAAAGATGGGCCTAACAATCTTCATGAGCCCATATTTATAAATTTATGATTTGTATTCACAAAGCCCATTAATGATTCGGAAAGCCCATAACGGCCCAATAAGTGGTTTTGAGAGGCATCTTTGCAACTTTTTGTGTGGTCATGCGATGTACGGATTTGTCTAACTACGGACTCTATAATTTTATTTTTCGAAATAAAATATTTTTTATTGATTAAATTTTTTTTATCCAGAAGTTCAGACCTTTCGTCCGACTATATCATCCAGAGAAACGGGAAAACCCATGTGAATACCTCTCTCCACGCTTGAATTTGAATCCAAGAAGAGAACATGCTCACCATCAGGCCATCTAAATTTGGGTTTTCGAAATAAAATATTGAATAAAAATCAATAACGGTTGTGATTTGGTTGGTGGGTCATCGACCGACCAAGATTTTCCTCCTTTTAATATAAGTTATTTCGCCTTGTTATATTTCATTTATTTTTGTTTCAGATTTTGAACTCGAATACATTAACGCCTATAGTTAAGAAAATAATTCTATTAAAGATATTAAATTGTGGGGCCCACATTGAATCAATTATTATTATTTTTTATTTTTTAAAACCGAAAAAGGAAAAAAAAAAACATTCGGCCTTGGCTTTTATATATTCCACTCGTCGTCCTCGTCTTCTCCGTCTCGTACTGTCTTGTAACTGTCCCTGTTCGTCGTCCAGGTCTTCGATCGTCTCAGATCAGAGAAAGCCGCTGAACATGGGTTTGCAGGTATTGCTCGATCCGATTTCTTACTCGTTCGATCGGTTCTGTTTTTTTATCTGTAATGTAATCTACCGTTTAATCGCTTGGAAGATGATTCGTTCCCGATCGATCTGTGCGTTTTTTTCCCTCCGTTCAATTGCGTTTCTCAGAGATTAGGTTTTCTTTGTTTTCGAATTCCTCTGAGATTTGATTTCCCGTTTTGCTAGATGGTTTCATGGGAATTGTTTGATCGATCCGATCTCTGTTGTAGAGTACAAATGAGTGAACGGTTTCCTCATTTCCTTGTAGTACACAAATTCAAAATAGAAGCCAGATGATCAATAAATCACTTCATGCTTGTGTTTGAAATTTTCAAAGTTGCTGTGAAGTGATAAAACGACAATGGGTTAATGATGCTTTATGATATTGTCCAAATAACTATGATGTGATCAAACTGTTGAACTTTTCATCTGGATTTGTTCATTATTTATGGCAGCTGAATTCCGCATGGCCTACGTGGTTAGATCTGCATATCTTTCACTGTTGCATTGATTTCATGCCTGTCCTATCTGCCTTCCTTCTTAAGAACTGGTCGGAGAGGATAACGGGTTTGTGAATTTAGGTGCTTCCTGTTAGGTCGAATCTGGATTTGGTTTGAATGCGTCCACCTTCTTAGTGCAAAGTGTTTCGTGGAGTTCATCAATCTTTGCCTTGCTTTGGTTGGCAAAATGTATCATGTTACATTGATTTCTTTTGGTTTGTGTTCAACGCAGGAGGAATTTGAGGAATACGCCGAGAAAGCTAAGCAACTTCCAGAGAGCACAACGAACGAGAGCAAGCTCATCCTCTATGGGCTCTACAAGCAAGCCACTGTTGGACCAGTGAACACCAGTTAACATTTCTCCTTAACCAAACCTTTCCCCCTTTTTGATCCAAGACATTGATCTAGACCTACACTCTCTCGTCGTAAAGCACGCATCTTGGTTCAAACTTTCATGATTATTTTGCTTTGTTGGTTTTTGGTAGGTCGTCCGGGAGTGTTCAACATGAAGGACAGGGCCAAGTGGGATGCCTGGAAGGCCGTCGAAGGTAAAAGAAGAACTCGAATCTCCTCTCGTAAAAGCATACCCTTATAGAAACCCCATAGCCCGTGGACAATAAAAGCATATACCCTTATAGAAAGATGTCGTCTCGTAAAGGCATACCCTCTCATAGAAAGACTGAAGCTAGTGGACTGTAAAAACATACCCTTATCGAAAGATCTCGTCTCGTAAAAGCATACCTTTATAGAAAGACAGCAGCTTGTAGAAGCATACCCTCGTAGAAAGATCTCGTAACTGCATACCCTTATAGAATGGCTGTAGCTTGTGACTGTAAAAGCATACCCTTATGGAGAGAATGAAACTTGTGGACGGTAAAAGCGTACCCATATAGAAAGATTATAGCTTGTGGACGGTAAATGCATACCTACCCTTGCCGAAAAAGATTGTTGCTTGTGGACAGTACTTCGAATTTGCCGTTGGATTGATGAACATTCACGCTATGATTTGGCCCGAAATATAAGTAGAAAATGCAAGAAAGTGGGCGGTAATCTTTTAGATTGGGATCTGAAATGGTATTTTTTGACGAGACAGGGAAGTCGAAGGAAGAAGCAATGAGTGATTACATCACTAAGGTGAAGCAGCTCCAGGAAGAAGCTGCTTCTTCGGCATGATCATTGTCGTGTTTCATCACAAAATGAATAATAATAATAATAATAACAACTGTTGTCTTGTCTTGTAATGTCCTGATGCTCTTTATGTTGGTTATGATTATGATGCCTTTCTTAATGAACGTGTGTTTTCTTTCATTTCGGACTAATCATATGATTATTTTAATTTCAGTTATCAATATTTTAGAATCATGATTATATATATATATATATATATATATATATCTAAAATAAATATCTCAAACTTTTCAAACATATGGCAACTTTTTTTTTAATAAAAGAGTTCATATCAATTTTGGTAAAATAACATCAATTTTGGCATAAAAGTGTAGAAAATTGTTTTTCCATTTAAAAGTTGATATATTTTTATTATTAATTTTAATATTTGATATATTTATTTATCAAATTTGTGTATTTTCATTGAGATGGACAACCGACTAGACATTACTCTGCATATGCAAAAACTTCCAATTTCCGTGAAAAAAAAAGTTTAACAAAAAAAAAATCGACTGTTGGAATTGTCGATTTTTTCAAAATAGTACATTAATTGGTAGATAAAAAAAGCATACCCTTTTAAAAATTATTTCGAATAAAATGAAGATCATTAGAAAATCGAATGAATTTGATACTTAGTCTCGTACATGTGATTAAGCGCATGAAAATAAAATAAATATGTAAATAATAAAAAAATAATTTGATAAAAGGACTTTCTTGTAATCTTTCGTCCTTTCCCTTTTCTTCCGGCCAGAGCTTTTCGTTACCACAAAAATGGCGACGCCGGAATCAGAAGAACAACGACCGATAACCGTCGTAGAAGAAGACGAACGCGATGTGGAGAAGCTGACGAAGTCATTTCTCGGATTGAGCTTCTCCTTGATGCTCGCTTACCTCCCGAGCGACTCCATTGCTTTCGTGCCGCGGTTGACGTCGGAGGTCAATGAGCTCCGGCGGCGGCTTGTTTCGGCGGAGGAACAGCTCCGGCAGATGAAGTCCCGGCGCGTCGAGGACTCCAAGGCCAACGCGCGCGTGGTGGAGATCTTCGCCAGCCACCGAAACTCGTGGCAGGAGGGGG